ATAATCATGTAGTATTTTTCTCTCATGAGCTTTTATTGATTCTTTCTGTCATTAACTTCAAAAAAGATGAGGTCCCATTCTTTATGTAAAATTGCATGTATGTTTTGGAAGGTAGGGTACCACCTCTGTCCAGCTCTGGGGCCAAGGGAACTTTATAGAAAGTGAAAAGGCATTTACCTCTTTTTAAATAATTCATTAGGCAATAAAGATGGCCCAACCCAGTCTTCATGATTTTGGAACTGGAGAAGTTCCAGCTAAATGACTTTTCAGTCTAAAAGGACTTTATTTCCTGGCCTGCAGTTAGAATATCATAGTAAAATAAGTCTCTAGAGAGAAGTGGTTATAGTTTTAAAAAAGACAGGGGCTGTAGGAATAGAAGGAAACTATTCAATATGATAGAGGCTACACATGAAAGCCCACAGCTAACCCAACATTCCATGGAGAAACTTGGAAAATGTTAGTGACATCATGAACAAGACAAGGATGCTGTTTTTTTAAAATGTATTTTATTGATTTTTTACAGAGAGGAAGGGAGAGCGATAGAGTGTTAGAAACATGGATGGGAGAGAAACATTGATCAGCTGCCTCCTGCACACCCCCTACTAGGGATGTTCCTGCAGCCCATGTACATACCATGGGCCGGAATTGAACCTGGGACCCTTCAGTCTGCAGGCCAACCCTCTATCCACTGAGCCAAAACGGTTAGGGCAAGGATGCTGTTTTTCCTGCTTATTCACTATAGTAGTGGAAGAACTGGCTGGAAAAATCAGTCAAGGTGATAAAATAAGAGGTATCCAAATTGGAAAGGAAGAAGAAAAATTATCTTTTAAAAAAGACAACCTAATCAGATATAGAAAACCCTAAAAATTTCACCACACATACACACACACACCAAAACAAAGTTGTTGGAGACAAAATCAACACTCAGCATCATTTCCATTTTTTTCAACAAAAATGAACAATGCCAAAATAAAATTAAGAGAACAGTTCCATTTAAAATAGCATCACAGGCCCTTCTAAGTGGCTGCACAAATTACCAGTCCATGAAGCCAGCCCTCCCTACCAGGGCAAATGGACGTGTTCATTCTCCAAGTTAATTCAATCCCAAACTCAAGTCATAAAAATGGAGAGAACTAGAGGCTTTCCTGCTAAAGATGAACAAAATTACAAGTTTCTCAATGCCTTAGTAAGACACATGTGCTCCAAAGGGTGGAAGTGATGCCTGCTAACGTTGATGCTCTAAGACAATGACATCAGTGATGACAGTGACACCAGAGACAGGATCAACTCTTGTGATCAGCAGTTTAAACAAAGCATGAGCTATAGGGCCATCCACATCCTTGACCATTCAGGGATCAGCTACATCTATGGCTCCACTAGTCTGGGCCATGCTGGATGTAACCTCCAGAGAAAAGGACAAGTTGCTAATTGATGTTAGAAGAATGAAAGGTGCTTTATGAAACCTCTGGTGAGATCTAATAAAATAATTACTCCTAGGCAGACTTCTTGTGAACAAGGCCATATCTTCTACGGCAATAAAGCAACAGCTCCCAACAGGCTTCTAGGCCTGAGGAGAGATGGAGAATCTGAACGTGTTCTGTAATATGACCAGGTAGGCAGAACTTCTCATCATAGCCTGGGTTCTACCACACCCACCAACATAAGTTCAGGTGAGGAGAGAAGCATCCAATATAATTGGAAGTGACACATCCTGGATTAGACAAAGACAGGTGCGTACCTACCACTCTATCCCTGTGACCTACCACTGATCTCTTACCTGTGGAATCACAGAAAGTTACTCTCAGTAGTCAACAAAGAAGGAAAATGCTCCACACATTCCAAGATCATGCCAGCCTTCAATTTCTCCTCCCCCAACACACACATACCATCAGCCTTTTCCTTGCCTGTCCCCAGGCTCCTAGTCAGACTTACTCACTGACACACAAATCCCCTGGGACATGGCTAACCTGTTTACTGAGGCACATCTTGGTGTATAGAGGTGAGATTGGCCTTTCATGGTTCTCCCAGGCTATGGGGAAACTGCTTTGAGAGCCAAATGCACACAACTCTCCTGGGTTGGAGCTTGAGGCTGGACACCTCTGGCCCTCAATTTGGTCCTCACCCTCAAGCCTGCCCTGCATTCCCCACTTTCCCCAGGCTCCATGCCAAGCCCTGTTCTAGTCTGACTACCCTGGACTTCAACTAATTTCCTGGCTCAAATGCCACATTCCCTAGGCTCATCTGCATTCATGGAGTCCCCATCCCTCCTCACTTTTCAGACTCCTAACTCCCTACAAGATGCTCATCTGCTTTTACTTCTTGTTTCTTATTTTATGTCTATTCTGTAACTCCTGCCAGCCAGTATATCTGGTGCTCCCTTTTTTCCCAAATGTCAGGACACTAATATGAATTTTCAAGAACCTTATTCTTTCCCCCAACCCTTTTTGCCTATCCAAGTTAGTGAAAACTGCATTCCCACTTCACTACACCAGCTCCAGTGGCTTCTCCCTCAACAGGTAGAAGGTAGCCCCTCACTCATATCCCTCACCCCCATCCAGAGCCCTCCCCAAAAGAGCCCACCTTCAGGGTACCTTTAGGTCCCCTTGACCTCATATAATGCCTAACATCTCCAAATCCCCCAGGCTTTACTAATTATCATCCTGGCTGTGAACAGATCCTATCACTCAACAGCTCCCCTCTATGCTCACTTCTGCTTACCCACAATCCACTTCTGGCTAAGTCTCAAAGGAGTATAGCTAAATACCCCAGACCCACAAGGCACAGGAAAGATTTATTTCCATTTCCCAGGTTCTGGATGTGGATTCTATATGAACAGGCACCTGGCGATTGTGATTGTAAAAACAATGAAGAAAACAAAGTATGAGGACACATGCCTGGCCTGAGCTCCATGTCACGGGGGACACAAAACAGCATCTTTTAGTGACAGCCTGTGGGTGACTGACATGTCAGGGACCAGCATGTTTACTAGAGTTTCTTAGATTCCAGACAGAATATTTGTTAAAATCTCTGTGAACTTGTTCCTTGAAGATGCAGTGAAAATGAATGTGAACACTGTTGAGGGCTTGGTCCCTGTGGACGTGTACCCTTTCAGGCCTGCATGTCTTCTCAGTTTCTGAAGCAAAGGCCATCCTGAGGCAACCAGGGGCCTCAAAAGCATCTAGGAAGTCACGTCAGATGCTGCTGTGGATGCCAAGTCAGAAGGGAGGCAGGAAAACTGGAGACCTTTATGTGGAGGATTTTAGCCTGATAAGGAAAGAAAATGGAAGATTTGAAAATAAGGTAAGGATCGACAATGTGAGCAAAATGACAGGATCAGCTAGTTACAGGTAGATGATGACAAAGTAAAACAGGTGTCCAACTCATTTAAAGAGGAAAGGAAGACATTCTTCAGAACCATGCAATAGGGCAATGAGATGAAACTCAACACCCCTGAAACAAAAGGCTGGGGAGATTTTAGGAAAGAAAAAGGAATTATAGGCATCTGTGTTTGTAATGGGCTTTACAGAAAGGAAATGTAAACCATCTCCTGAAGACCTGGCAGGAGGTCTTTTCACATCTTGGTTGTAAATGTCCCCACCCAAGTTAGGCTCCTACTCTCCCTCAGAAACTGGGACACAGGGACACCAGGAAGATTAAATTTCAAACGGTGGGGCCAGGTCCTTGAGACAGTTATTCTCTGGGTCATAACCCTGGCAAGAAGCCTGTATATTTCAAAAGTGCAGAGAAAGAACCTGCAATTACTAATTACATTTATGAAAGAGATGGTCTAAGGATGGAAGACAAAGGCATGTTGTCAGGAAGAAACTGTGTAAAGGTTAGTGACTCTGAGGGAACATTAAGGCCTCTAGTTCAGAACAAATCTGCTTTCAGCACAGTGGAGGGAACACAACTAAATCTCTCTTAGCCAAGATGCAGTTGACATCTTAATCATTTCCAGGAATGTATAAAGAGGTGCAATTTCCCAGCAATTTATAAACAGATGCAAAGTAGCTGAGAGTTCCTGAACACAGCCAGGATCTGATCTCCCAGAATGCTGTGCTTCTAGAGTTCTCCATGGAGACATTACATTGCTCTCTACAGTCACCTTCCTTTTGACCACAGGTCACCTCCAAGGAAAAGAGTATTCTCCATCCTACAACATGGCTGGTGTCACTGGATTTGGCCTGATTAGTGACCTAAGTGCAGAGGAACTGACATTTACCACATAATTTGCTCTGATGCAGGTTTTCTATGAAACCGAAGATGGGAGTTCTAACAGCCTCCTGAAATTAGGAAGCCTCATCCTTGTATTTGGGTAATGCCCTCATCTCCAAGAGATTCCAAAAAACCCCGCAGGTCAAATTTAGCTCCATGAAAGGTGAGGTCATTTCTAATTCTGTGGGCATCAGTCTGAACTAGGACATTTGAGCCAAAGCCTTGGTTGTGTTACTAAGGTTTCAATTATACCCTATTAACAAGGAAGACAGAGTCCTATTTACTTTATGCAAATAAGTCTATAGCCATATAAATAAACATACTAAAAAAGACTTAAGAAATTTTTTGAAATAAGTCAAACAGGGAGAAAAAAAGGTCAGTGTTGTTACCCACATGGATGTCCTCCTGTCCATTCCCATTGCCAAAAACAGTGGCTGGGTATCCACTACATGTCCCCCTGGAGGAGGGACAGAGCTTGGATTTATGCAAACTCATCACCTGCACCCAGGGTAATCACACTGCCACTGAGATTCTCTTAAAAGATACAGTTTCACCTCCACTGTGGAAATGGTACAACTTAGACCACACAGAGGTGGGATCTGGTATAGACTATCACCTTAAGTCAACAATAATGACAATGTCAGCTCTCTTTTTTGAGCATTTATTGACTCAATGCAAATCTTCTAAGGACTTTCCACCCACATAAGAAATCTATTTAAAGGGCACAAAAGATTATTCAGAGTTTAGTAACATATTGGAGAGGAGGAAGGTCACTAATATTTTACATCCAGCTCAACCTGCAAACTTTTAGCGGAACTGATGGGGTTGGACACTTCACACTGGTAATTCCCAGCATCCTCCCTCCTGACGGGGTCTATGGTGAGTTTATTGTCGTCCAAGGACAGCATCATTCGCTCCGTCAGCCGCAGATTCATGCCATTGAAGAACCACTTGGTGGAGACTGCATTTGTGTAGCAGGTGAGGACCACGGGATCCATATACTCCATGACTGTGGTGCTGCTGGCTTCAAGGGTGGGCATTGTCACTGGCTCTGTGAAGAAATAGAGAGCATGGCTAATTGAGAGTGGGCTTGGGACCTGGGCCATGCAAGCTCATCAGACATCTTAGCCACTCAGATTTCACTGTGAGCTCCGTAAGGTCACCAGAGGATGGTTCTAATCTCTGCAGAAGGACAATTGTCTTTGTTCAGGGGACGATGTGTAGGGAAAGGGTTGCACCTCTTCTCTGAACCCAGATCACCCCTGACCTGTTCCCATAGACATCTTTGTAGTATCAACACAGGGATCCCTTTCGCAGCCCACGTTTGTATAACCTCACCATAAGGTGGAGTTTTCCTCTCATGAGCTTTTACTGACCCTTTCCTACAAGTTCTTTTGACTTAAAATTCCATGTATGTTGGGAAAGGCCATCTTACCACTTCTGCCCACTACTTTGGCCAAGGGGACTTTACAGAAAGTGAACGGGCATTTAACTGTTGTTAAATAACTCATTAGTGAATAAAGATGGCCCAACCCACTCTTCCTGACCTTGGATCTGCATAATTTCCATCTATAGGATTCCTCATTCTGAACAGGACTTTATTTCCAGGCCTGCTGAGTGCATATAATGGTAAAATAAATCACTAAAGGGAAGTGGTTATGATTTTAAAAAAAGACAGAAACTGCAGGGATAGGAAGAAATTACTTAATATGGTAAAAACCGCACAGGAAAGTCCACAGCTAACACACAGAGAACCTCTGAAAACAGTACTAAGATCATGAATAAGACAAGGATGCTATTTTTCCCCTAATTCAACTAGTCAGGAAAATCAGGCAAGAAGATGAGATTAGAGATATCCAATTTAGAGAGGAATAAGAAAATATCTTTTTTAAAAAGATGACATAATCTTATTGTAGAACACCCGGAAGATTTCACCAATACATACCTAAAAAAACTATTATAACTAATATAAAAGATGAAGTTTCCACAGACAAAATCAACACTCAGCATCATTTCCATTCTTTAAACAAAAATGAACAATCATCAAATAAAATAAATAAAACATTTCCATTTACAATAGCATCAAAAAGACTAGATGCTTAGGGTTAAACATAATAAGGTAGAAGATGAATACACTGAAAACTACAAAACATTTCTGAAAGTAAAGAAGAAAAAAATACCTGGAAAGACATCCATGTTCATTGATTCCAAGACCACCAACTATCTACATATTTGAAACAATCCCTATCAAAATCCCAATTACTTTTTTTCAGAAATAAAAAAATCCATCCCAGAATTTATGTGGAATTTCAATGGATTCCAAACGTTTGCAACAATCTTCAAAAGGATGCATTGAAATTGAAGGTCTCACAGTTACTAATTTCAAATCCTACTACAAAGGGAAAGTAACCAAAATAGTTACACTGGCATAAAGACTTCTATTTGTCAAAAGTCACAATCCAATGGTTTTGATAAAGGAGCCAAGACTGTTCAATGGAGAGAAGACAGTCTTTTTAACAAAGGCAGTTGAACAGCAATATCTACGTACACAACAATTCAGTCAAAATTTATTGAATCCTAAAGCTAAAAACTAAAATTATAAAACTCTTAAAAGAAAACATAGGGGTAAGCATTATGGCATTGGATTTGGCAGTGATTTCTTTATGAAACTAGAAACTCAGAGGAGAAAAGATTAGATAATTTAGATTTTTGTCAAAACGAAAACTTCTGTTCATCCAAGGACACAATCAACAGAGTGAACGGTGATCTGTGAAATGGTAGAAAATAGTTTGGAAATCATTAATAGGATGAGGGGTTAATATCCAGAATATATAAAGATACCCTACAATTTTTCTAATGGGCTTTACAGAAAGCAAATGTAAACCGTCTCCTGAAATCCTGGCAGGAGGTCTTTGTAGAAAATAGTTTGGAAATCATTAATAGGATGAGGGGTTAATATCCAGAATATATAAAGATCTCCTACAACTCAACAACAGCAACACCAAATAAGCTGATTTAAAAACGGGCAAACCTCATGAATAAACATTTCTCCAGAGAAGATATACAAATGGTCAATAAGCCCAGGAAAAGATGCTCGACATCACTATCATTAGAAAAATATAAATCAAATCTCTCAAAGTAAATGCTTGTGATATTGAGTGTGGGTAACTCCACTGAGCAGGTAACAGGAGACCACTGCCCTGTGCGACATTTGAGTCCTCCAAGCCTTCTTCAATCAGTATTGGCACCTCTCAACTCTCAGCCAACTTAAAGGAATAAAGCAGGTCTATGTATCACAAGACAAATGCCTGGGGCTCTGAGCCCACAGAGAACTTACATCCTCTATGTCTGGGAGAAAGCACAGCCTTTCTCAGGAGCCAAGACTCTTCAATGGAGAAAGGATGGTCTTTTCAACAAATGAAGGGAACCATTCAATAGATTAGCAGGATTTGGTTGTGGAAAAAAAGAGAACCTAGAGTTAGAGACACCACCTGCCCCCCTAATCCTCCCACACCTCTCCTAGTTCTTCACTGACCATCTGACTGCAATTTGTTCTAGCTTCACAGACTTTCATTGCCCAGCTGAGGTGTGTTTCTAAGAGACACCATTTCCCAGGATATCTTAGAGACTCAGATTGGAGCAGAAATAAAACGGGACCAGGATCGAACCTGTGGTCTGTTGACTACTCAGGCCCCGGGGCCAAGAGCAGGGTCAGGCCTTTTCCGGTGAGTGTGATTGACATGAGCCAGTGAGCCAATAAATGATAGAGCAGAGTCCAAGGAATGAGCCAGAAAGGAGTGAAGGGACAGGCAGGATCTGATTGTGGCAGCAGAACCATATCCTTTGCCCTTGGTCATTAAAGTCATTCTCCCTCTGCGGAAGGCAGGTGAGGCTTGTGCAGATGCAGAAGGGGTGATGAATGGCAAGAGGGCAGCATGGATTGCTGACATGTGGACCCTTGTGGACCATTTGTGTTTGGTGGTTATGAGATAGAAATTTGGAAAGATCTTAAAATTCCCCCATATGCAAAAATTACTATTAATACCACAGGGCCTAAGAACAATTGCAAGAAGGACTATTTCTATAGAGAACAGCAAAGGGTCTGAAACATCGGTCTCAACCCTTGGAGTGACAGAGAGCCTTTCCCATGTGGCCAGCATTCCAAAGACTCTGCATCCAGGTTTCAGCTCTGAAGATGTTTTAGCTCATTCCTTCCTTCAGTAGCCATTTATTTCTTCCTAATTCATCAAAACAACTGAGTGTTACATCTTGATCCCTTAGCTGGTTACAAGCATAAATGGGGAGCTAGCAGGCAACGTTCTTTCCTTTATATCCAGTGGGAGTGACACCAACACATCAGGAAACAATTCAGTGGTTTCACCTCCAGTGCAAGGAGGGGTGTATCAGCCACCTGAGGGGAAGGTCTGGGTGTTCCCAGCACTGACTGATTGTTACTGCAGGCAATTTGGTTCTAGAGTACAAATAAATTAGTTCTCCATTTGGTGTTATTTTCTAGACCACAGTCTCTCTCTCTGAACTGGGGATGTCTAAGGGAAGATCTAAACCAGGTATGGCGAACCTATGACTCAGAGGTGACAAGCAAACTCATTTTTCTTGGCTGATTTTTCTGTTAAATGGCATTTAAATATATAAAATAAATATCAAAAATGTAAGTCTTTTTTTACTATGGTGGCAAATATCAAAAAAATTCTATATGTGACATGGCACCAGAGTTAAGTTAAGGTTTTTCAAAATGCTGGCACCCCAAGCTCAAATCGTTTGCCATCACTGCTCTAAACCAGTGTTTGCTTTAGGGATCCCTCTGGGATGGAGGAGAGGTTATGGCTGCAGACAGACCTTGAGTCACTCTCATGGCCTGTGTGGCTCTGCTTTAGTGACTATATCTCCCTGTGCCTTGGTTTCCTCTCAATGCAGTACGATGAACATTTGGCTGCCAGGGTGTCAGGGTATCAACAATAAAATATTCACAGTATCTGACTAAACATTGGCACAGGGGAGCTGCTCAAATGAGGGACATCTGTTATTGTTCAACTCCAAGAGAGAATCTCCTGGGCTGATCCCTGGTGGATGAGGAGCTGCCAGGAGTATCTTTCCTTCTTTTTGTTCCCTATGATTCTGACCTTTCTCTGGACTCTCCTAAATATTTCAGTGTAGTTCATAAATGGCATGGCGACCTTGTCCATCTGTGCTAGCCACATACAGTCTCAGGTGAAGCACCACCCCTATCCAGATGTGGCTCATGGGCCTGTGCTCTGGCTTCTGAGCAGCTCAAAAGCCTTGTGACTCAGACACCTGGGAAACCATTGCACCCACTGAGCCCTTCCCAGGAGGTTAACCCCAACCTGACACAGGAACCCCAGGGTCCCTGGAGTCAGAAACCCTGGGGCAGGGGTCTGGGCGGGGCTGCCAAAGCTGAGCTTCTTTATGAGGATTGCAGGGGGCTCCTCAGGATGGGCTCTGGCCGAGACCTGCAGGGTCTTTCTCAGGGTCATTGTCATGGGGAGGGGCCGAGGGAACTGGATGGAGACTGGTCTCACTCTGCTGAGGAACTCCCATCAGACTGGCCCTTCTCTCTGTGGAGAATGTCTGCAGGGCTGGAATCCAGTAAGGGAACTCTGATCTGAGAAAGTTTGTCTCCACTGTGTGTGTCCTGCACTAAATGCCCAAACCCAACCTGGGAGATGATGCAGAGGGGCATGGAGGTAGAGTACAGGGCTGTCAGTCCTGTGTGTTCACCCATCCAACACCCAGAATTCAGAGAGCAATCACTCACTGTATACATTGAGCCGTCCAAATCCTATTTCTTTTATATAGCCTGGAAGGTAGACTGCTATGGTGTAGATTCCTGTGTACTTCAGGGTGACCCTCTTTATCAGCAAGGATCCATCAAAGTTTATTTTCTCTCGACAGCTGTGTGCAGGCCCTGTTCTATGTCTTAGGAATATTCCAAGACATGCAATACTATGTTTGTAGTTTTCCCCTTCCCCCCTGTACCACACAAAGACTGTAAATTCCGGAG